GAAAAATATTAAGTGGGATATAATAATGACATGTTTTCTAAATTAAATGATTGGCTTTTATATTGTCATTTTACTCAATATAAAGTAAGTATTTTTCAGATTTTACTGAACTGCTTAAGTTGACTGCATATGTGTGCATATATGTATATACACTACCATTCAAAAGTTTGGAGTCACTAAGATTTTTTTTTTCTTTTAAAGAAATTAATGTTTCATTTCAGAAAGGGTACATTCAATTTATCAAAAGTGACCGTAAAGACATTTAGGGTGTTACAAATGATTTCTGTTTAAAATAAATGCTATTCTTTTGAACTTTCTATTTAGGTTTCACAAAAATATTAAGCAGCACATCTGTTTTCAACATTGATAATAGCAATAAGAAATGTTTCTTGAGCACCAAATCAGCATATTAAAATGATTTCTGAAGAATCGTGTGACACTGAAGACTGGAGTAATGGCTGCTGAAAATTCAGCTTTGCATCACAGGAATAAATTACATAAAAAAAATAATTAATATAGAAAACAATATTTAATAATATTTCACAATATTAATGGTTTTGCTGCATTTTGGTCAAATAAATGCAACCTTGCTGAACATACAAAACATTAAATAATCTTCATAAGAAGTTATGAAGTTTCTTGGAATTCAGTATAAATAATAAGATATGAATATGGTCTTTATTCAGTACTATTGTATTACCATCTGGTGCCATTGTGTCTTTAGAGTTTCAGATGAGAACTCAACAATACTTATAGACAGCTGCAATCAAAAATAGGATATTTCAATATAAACGCAAATATTACTCATTCACATTCTTCTTTCTTCCTTCTCTTTACTCTTGATGTGTTAACAATTATCTCATTTATGTATATTTTTATTTCTCCCTGAAAAATATCTGAGACAAACTTGATTTTTTTTTTTATTTGTGCATTTTGAAAAATAAATGAGAAACTATCAAGTTCACTGAGCTTTGAAAGAGCAATATCTGAGCAATCAAATGTTCCTCTGGGTGAGAATGGTTCTGTAATCATGTCTAGAGAAATATTCAATCCAATCTGGCCATGATACACACCCACCGACCCACCCACACACAGACAAATGGTGGGAGAGGAAAAATGATTCCAGCTTCCTAGTGTTTACACTTCCCCACGCATGACGCAACACATAATCAGCACCACACACGCATACATGCGTCCCTCCCCCAACACATGACGCACAGGCCGAGTGGGAGAGTGAAGCCATGCACGACTCACTCACGTCCTCACCGTACACACGCTCACTCACAGGAACAGGCTCTAGAGAAACGTGACTCTCTATCTGGCTGTCTTAGTCTGTGTGTTTTAATAGCAGAATTCTGTCTGCTCAGTGACGGAATAGAGATATTGGCTGAATTTCTCATTTATATTAACATTACTGCATTAGAGCCAACGTTATTTGGCAATGCATATGCTTCCAGACGATTTCTGGCTCTCACCACATACCTCATTCAAAACAATTTTAGAACATTTTCCAGCATGTTGGTATAATTTATAAAAATACATTATTTAAACATAACCACTAACCTTATGCTAATGTAGGAATTAATATTGGATTAAAGAAATGTGGTAATAATTTTTCTCACTTTCATATTGTTACAATGATTATTTTTCTTCAATGGAAAACACAAAAATTATCTATCGTTCTATCTATCGTTCTATATATCGTTCTGTCTGTCATTCTATCTGTTGTTTTGTCAATCATTATATTTTATTATTTTTCTATTGTTTAATCATTATATTGTTCTATTGTTCTCGTTCTAGTTATCAACTGTTCAGACTTCAAAAACTCTTGAAAAAGCCTTGTTTGTTAAAGTTTAAAAAGACTTAAAACTACTTTTATATAATATGAAATGAAATTCAAATAAATGGTATTCTACTTCCATATTTACATTTGAATTTCAAATCTGCATCCTGTTTTCGATTGCAATTCAAGTTCAAACCAAATTCATTAATTGGATCGTAATTTAAACTGCATTCCCAGTTCAGTTCTGAACTCTGGTTTATGGGTGAATAAATCTTTAATTTTGTATCTTCAAATTTGGGCAAACAGGTGAGATTCATTAATGATATAGTTTCAAGACATGCTGACTTTGCTGGAAGAGACATTCTTCCCAATAACATCTGACTCTGCACATTACAGTTAGGTGAAATATGATTATTCCATAAACCAATGCTAGACTATAACTCAGAATGATTGAGGGCTTCTTCTAAAGTGATGAAAATGAATTTGCATTGGAAGGAGTAAATGGCAGTTTTGGCCTTAATCCCCAGAGAGATGCAATCTGTGGTGTAGCTTGGCAGATTGTTTAGACTGCTCTTGTTCAGCGCATTACAGGGTGACAGGCTTGGTCTACTGTCTTAAATCAAATGTTTCTTGTAGAAAACTCGCCTGGGCTGTAAGCCAGTTGCTCCTGATTAATGTGACCTTGATTCAACATGGTTTTCAGTCTGACTTTTGAGTGAGCAAGGCTCCATTAGTAACTAGACATTTTAGAGAAAAGGGGAAAAATAGAGAGAGAATATGAAGTCAATATAATAGTTTGATTTGAACAGGTACAAGTTTGGCTCAGTTCAAAGCCTGAATGAAGATAAAATATGAGCACTTACTGTATAAGGAATGACTGGCCCTTGACAGTGTGGATGTGATAAGTGACCACTCATGCTCTGCAAACATTGAATTTAGTAAAGTCAGTTAACAGGCCTTTTTAATGTAATGCTTTAAAAAAAACTGCTCAAATGCTGAGTGGATATCATGGGAAAGAATCACTGTTCAGTAAAGAAGAGATTAAAGGTCCTGTATGTGATTTTTTGACTGTACCAAAGCACAAACACCATAATACATTTACAGGTATGTAGGTAACATGCTAAGTTCACATACAGTGGGTACGGAAAGTATTCAGACCCCCTTACATTTTTCACTCTTTGTTATATTGCAGCCATTTGCTAAAATCATTTAAGTTAATTTTTTTCCTCATTAATGTACACTCAGAAAAACAATGGTACAGCCCAGATATTCTTCTTTGAAAATGTGCATTCCATGTCGGAATGTCTGTTGTGTTTTGGTCCATGTGATTCCTCCCACTACCAGTTTAACCAATAGTATTTCGAAATCCCCGGGTTGCCAGTTGGTGGAAAACAGTGTATTGCAGCCATTGAAGGCAGCAGACGTCAGAGATTGAGTCAGAGATCGCAGATTCTACCTGACCTAAAAAGCCTCGGCATCCATCTAAAAAGCTCTATGACCAGAGAGGCATGTTAAAACACGGACAAATCAACTCATAAACTTTCAGTGTAAAGCTTGTTGCCTTCCATTGTCAGCTGCGCTGGTTTCTGTTGCGTGTCCTCAATCTGGCAACCCACATGAATTTCGAGTCTGAGGAGGAGGGGGCTGGAGAAACAATATTTTGCATTTGGACTGCAGTCCCCATTTCAACCGCTAGCTGTTGTACTTACTACACCTTTAACACTTCATTAGATGTTTATGGTTCTTTGCTTCCTTTGTGGTTTGAAAACTTTTTGGAAGTTAAAAGGCAGGTAGTTCAGGAATACTGCAGCAGATTTGTGATCCAATGCCGAACCATAACTATTTATTGCACAAAGATAAACTTGTGAATTATGCACAATTATAATGCAACCAGTTTTTGTTGCATCCCCACCAGTTAAGAACCACTGCTTTAGAGACGTTAGGAAAGTGGAGATCTTATATTGGCCAGCTATTGAAATATTTGAAGTCTGATGACTGTTGAGAGCTTCATTCTGGAAGAAGGATGGGGCAGCAAGACTCAGGTAATGGTGCTGGCATGGCGGCACTGATGGTCTTTTATGGATCGACCATTAGCAGTAGAGTGGAGCACATTACATTCTCTCAGGACCATATCTGATCCTGCCAAGCAATAAAACCTATAATGCAGACGGAGAAAAAGCATGCTTCTCTCGCTGCCTGATAATTGAATGATGCTGCATGTGAGTGAGTATGCACATACAAATGACAGGCAGGCATAGAGAGAACGTGGAAGAGACAAGTGAGAAAGGGAATTGTCACACCCCATCAATGTTTACTGTGAATTTGAAGGTGAACTGATTTAAGCCATTGCCACAGGCACAGACTTTTATACTGACTGCAGTTGACCTTCTAAATTAATAAACATAAACCATATTGCATGTTATAACAGCTTACATCCAGTGCACACAGTTATTAGAAGAAATAATAATAATAATTAATAATATTTATTTATTTATTCCATATGTTGCACACTATTGCCTCAGGGGATCATTTATTTATTTTATTTATTTATTTATTTTCATTCAAGCACAATGCATAAAAGATGTGAATGAAATGGTTACTTTTTAAACATATTTTGCTTTGTAGAGTTTCCTTTATAAATGCACTTTATTTGTTAAGAGGAATTACTTGTTTGTTGGTTAGAAGTAGCATTGTGCATTGACAGTGGAGTGGAGTGGATAATATTGCAGTTGTCATGTTTTTATTTAGATTTTATGTTTGTTTTATCCATTATTAAAGTGCCCACCTTTTCCTTATATTATTTTACATTTAGATTAAAGTCAGATAAAAGGTTAACCAGGAGACAACAATATTAATCTTTATTGTCATAATATTAAAATATAGGGCTGTTCAAACATTTAATCAACATTTTTAAATAAAAATTATAATAAAACAGTATTGTGAAAATATTAATAATGGCCTGTGGTGTTTTTGTTTATTTATTTATATTGATGCACTGTCAACATTCTTATGAGCTTTCAATAATAAAATGATATTTTTTTGCCCAAACGATATCAACCCCCTAACACTGATGCCCAAACAAACGGAAGCCGATTATTAGCAGACAGTTTGTCAAAGACGAATGATTATGTCGCTTTAAATTGAATTTTCGCGAGGTGATGTGTGCTGATCACTGTCATGTGCGGCGCATGCGCAGAGGAGGCGACTGTGAAAGCGGGTATGCCCTCAGATCCTTGTAACCCTCCATCCTAGACGCCGAGCAGCCGATCACCAAACAGCACTAGAGAGACAGAAATGGGAGAATAAACAGGGATGCTCGCACGCTGTAAGGTAGGATGCTGTTTGTACCACTTAAGCCGGCCGTTATGATGAAAATAATCATGTTTTTCCATGTGATCACATGGACAGTGGTAGATTTGAGGAAGGATGATTATGGTGTGTTGTAGTAGAGGAATACTTCTAGTCTGGAAATGCTTTCGGAAGGATGCGGTTTTAGTGATGAGGCTGGGAAATCCTCCGACAGTGCTTGATCAAGGGCGAATGTATAATGATCGGGACAGTGAGGGAACCTCCATTTCTCACCGTTTGCTCCTTTATTTCCCGTTTGAATGCATGTTATGTTGCGAAATCAGTGTGATTACTGCAGATCGTGACTGTCTGAGATTGATCATCTACCATCTACAACCTCATATCAAATAACCAACCTATAATATTGTTATAATAGTGCTTTTTTTGTGTGTGGTAAATTGGAGTAAAACGTATCCTTATATTTTGTGACTAAGACTGCCAGTCCCAACGAAACATTAAGTGTTCTTTAACATGTTGTAAACCCAATTGTGTTTAACACATGCAGCGGAGGTTTTACAACCCGGATATGCCGACGGAGGGTTTCTGTAGACGGGCTGTAGATGTTGCTTTTGAAGCAGCAGAAGCAGGGGAAAAAAAACTTAATCTGTCAATATATGTTTGTAGGCTGTTAGAAGAACACAGCGTGACTATTTAACGTTGATATCAGGTTAATGATCGCCAATGTGGATATAATTTTGATGGCACGCGGTATACTGAAAAACATTTATACATTTGTGAATAAATACACACAGAGTACCCACTGACCCTTTAAAGTTCCTCATCATAAATGTGTCCGCATAGAATTACGCGTTGCATGAGCTGAGTGTAGAGAGCTGTCCAGGGTGCTGAATGGAAATGTTCAAACGCACAATCAATCACTGGGCGAATGCAGGTTTACACGAGATTTTCAGTGTTTCATCACTGTTGCATATTCATGCTATATGTTTATATAATATGTATTTCACATGTTGATAAACAATATGTGTAGTAAAATTGTCTTTGCCAAATTGTCATTAGTTTTGACTCTGTAACGGCAGAATCGAACTCATAATTTGGATTGTAGTTATCAAATAACATGGACATGAACTGTTTTTTATCAACTTTTTAGGCGATCATTATTTTCATAGTATGGTCTATAACAGATATGTCATCGATATTTTATGCATTCCAGTGCAATGTAATTCAGAACACCAGGCAATATAAGATCATGCAAAATACATAATAATGAAAAAGTGATGATTAAAATAGGTTTAGATTATGTAAAAGGGGAATGCATGATGATCAGGGCAGTAAGGGAACCTCTATCCCTCACTGTTAGCTCTTTTATTTACCATATGACTGGATGTTATGTGTCAGTGTGATTACTGCGTGACAATGCGATATTGATCATCTACAGTCTACAACCTCTACATGTCAGTGACCGATTATGAAGTTGGTAACTGTTTGTTTAAAATGTTTTTGTTTATTTTATGTACCACTCTTGCATAAATTAGGTTTTTACCTGCTTTGAAGACGACTTGGCTAAATAACAATACTTTCAGTCAAAGTACTATTCTCATCTCATTTTGCCTTATGCAGAATATAAAGCATTTCTGAGATATTTAAATTGTAACATGGTATTACATCCTTTTGTTTATGTTTTGAATCTGGAACTATTAATATTTTAATATTATCATGTATATGGTATTACTTGATGTTTAATACATGCACATATATATACATTCATTAAAAACACAAGTAATGTGTGAATTCTCTCTTTTCTTTGTCCATTTTCTATTTCCTAAGGGACACTGGAGGTAGATGTGAGGGATAACTGCAACTGGTGAGAGAATCCCTCCACTGGGCTCCCCCCATCTCAGCCCTCTCCAACACCAGTCTTCAGAGCCCCATTCCAAACTGCCAACATGTTCTCCTCCAACTTTCTGAGTGGGGGGAATACTCTAAGTGCAATGTCCTCTGCTGTAAACAAGTTCAGTCGTTTTGGGGATGAGGAGGAAAAGCAACAACAGCAGCCTCCAGGACCCTCAAAGCAGAAGGATCCTCAACAGCAGGGGAATGGCCAATCAGCCTCACAGGGGCCTCAGAGACAAAGTAGACAGCAGACACAGGGTGTGGGAATGGGAGGCCAAGGAGCTGGATGGGATGGATCTCAACCACAAGGAGCTGGTCGGGGAAGTCCTGTACAGCAAGGAGCTGGGAGAGGAGATCATCCACATCAGGGAGTGGGCAGGGGAGGATTGCAACAAGGAGCAAGTGGGGGTGGATCCCCTAAGCAGGGTGTTGGGAAGGGTGGACCTCAACAACAAGGCCCAAGTGGACCTGGGTCTCATCCAGGAGGTGCAGTTGGCTCAAGGCCTCCTTCAGCAGAGCCTCAGGTGAAAGGTGGACCTGGAGCTGGGGTGAAATCCATCTGTCCAGTCTGTAAAAATACAGAACTCAATCTTAAGTTCAAGGATTCGCCCAACCATAACACCTGCACACAATGTAAATCAGTGGTCTGCAACATGTGTGGGTTCAGTCCTCCAGATGCAACCGTGAGTACAAATTCCTAACTCATTTAGTTTTTATCTGCAATTAGCGTGATACATAAAGCAGTAGCATACAATATTCATGCCTCATTTTAAGTATTTTTATTATTTTTTTTATTAAAAAGGAAAAGAAACAAGGAAAAAATTAAAAAGGAAAAGAAACAATATCTTTATCAATATCAGTTGCTGAATAGACCTCTCTAGATTTACATGTCACTTTTTACTATCAGGTGAAGATCCACCGTTATGTATTTCAATCCAGACGTCCACTGTCTCTGAAGCATGTTGTATTTGACTGTGATGGTTTTAATTCCTAGAAGAAGAGTTTTTTCCCCCCAAAAGCTCATATTTTTCACAATTATTTACCGATGCAACCATGAATAAGTAATGCTAATTCCTCAGAAGACATTTTTCACTGTATAAATTGTCTTATTTAAAATGCAGAACAACTGATTTATTTTAATTTTTGTTAAGTTAAAAACTAGCAATTTTATAACAGAAATGTGTATTCTCCATGTACGCAGGTTGAGGAGTGGCTCTGCCTGAATTGCCAGATGCAGAGAGCTCTTGGAGGCGCAGAGAACAGCGGACCTCCTACACTAAAAGCCCAGCTCCAGCCCAAGGACTCCGTACCATCACAGAACCCTGCAAAGAAAGACAATCTTCATAGTAAGCAGATGCCGTCATCTGCCAGCCAGCCAACCAAACCAACAGAGGGTCAGAAACTGTCAAGCCAGTCCAGCACAAGTGCAACTCATCCGTCACAGCAAACGTCACAACAAAAACCTCTTCCACAGCAGACAACAAAAGGTGCTCCTCCTGCCAAAACTGAGATACCATCAAAGACTGAGCCCCCTAAAAAAGAAGAAGAGTCCAGTTTCTTTGGTTTCGGTTTCGGTGGTGCTCGATCCCGCTCTCCTTCTCCACAGCCTGGTGCCTCTTCTGTTTCTGGAAAGGTTCTAGGCTTTGGTTCTTCGTTTCTTAGCTCAGCATCCAATTTGATTTCAGCTGTCCAGGATGAGCCCTCCACGACCACACCAACCAAGGGTTCCACTGTTACCCAAACCTCTGCCAAGAACACCACACCCCCTTCCTCAAGAAAAGGCTCAGAGGCCTCTAAGGGCTCCCCCAATGTTCCTAAATCTCAGACACAGGAGGGAAAAAGGCAACAGCAACAAAATAAACCCCAAGACACTCAAAAAACAACGACAACAAAGGAGTCCTCATCTGCTCAGGCTACTAAATTAGATCAAAGCCCGAAACTTCTTCCCAAAGCCTGTCCACTCTGCAAGGCAAGCCTGAGAAGAGATCCTCCTAACTATAGTACCTGCACTGAATGCAAGGCCACTGTGTGTAATCAGTGTGGATTTAATCCTGTGCCTCATCAAACAGAGGTAAGAAACAGATGAATGCATTTTCTTGCAGTAGGTTCACATTATGGTTTGTGCAATGAACTGCAATTTCAGAGGCCATGTTCTCAGTGATTCTGTTGTGAAAGATGGATGTATTTTCTAGTCTCTTTGGTTTGTGTGGAGGCAGTCTTGTGGAAGGCAGACCGAAAATGGCTGTGAGAGAAACAAAATGTGCCTTGATTCTCAAGGCAAAAAAAGGAAACATCAATGTGCAGTTTCACACTGTTTCTTCCCTTTTTAGTAATGCAGTGGTTCTCACACCTGTCCTGGAGTACCCCCTGCCCTGCACATTTTGTATGTCTCCCTCATCTATCACACCTGATTCAACTCATCAGCTCATTAGTGGAGACTGCAAGACCTGAAGTGGTGTGTCAGATATAGGGAGACACACAAAAGGTGCAGTGCTGGGGGTACTTCATGGAGAGGTTTGAGAACCCCAGTAGTAATGCATTAGAGTGATTCACATACTGTATCCATTAGGGCTTTGGTGATAAATATATATTATGAATGAATAGACATTCTGTGCTTAGTGACCTGTGTTATTTAATGATTGATCTGGGTCAAACATTGCAGTTAGTGGCTTGACTATTTTACCCACGTGCTTTCCACTCAGTCTGTTGCCTTTAGCCACTTTCCAGACCCAGCAAAGCCATCAAGAGAGGTTCATTCATGATCTTGTGGGCTTTAGTGTTGTCTGTTTTTTGATACAAGGGGATATATGATTTTCCTTTCATAACAGAAGTTGTTAGATCTACTGTTTCATCGTAACCATTTTGTTGGTCTTGGTTTTCATGCCTTAGTGTCATTTGTGTATTTTATTTTGAAGTCCTATTGAATTCATGTCTTTTATTTTTAAGACTTCTCACCACTGTTGCTGGTTTCCCTTTTCACATTACCTTATTTTGTTTGTAAGTTAGTTTTCAAGTATAGATGGTCCTTTTTTCATTTTCATTCACTGTTTTGTCAAGTCATGTTTTTATTTGGAATACCATTTTCTTTTGAGGCCATATACATACACATTTTTACAAAAATCATGTCTGTTTATAGCGTGAATAATGTTTGTGTTTGCAACTATAGCTTTTCCAAAACACAGACCAACTTTTGTATCTTGGCCATGAGGTGTTATAGTTGAGTACCAGTACCAGTATAGTTGAGGCAAGCAATGTGTCATGTGCTTATTCTTAGCAGTGAAGCTGCTGTAATAATGTATGTCCCCTAGAGAGCCCTTACCACCTCTATAGTCATCATCTGGAAGCCCCGAGCATACCAGTTTGCCCCCTAAATGGCCATTTCATCTTTTAAGATGTGTTGAGCACAAAATACACTTGACTCTGTAATTAACCGTTCAGAGTTTACATGCAGCCTGGCTAGGAGACTCCAAGGCTATTGGGTCACATGGGCCGGCTGTGTGGTAGAGGCAGAGGATCAATGGGTAGTCCTCGGAGATAACATCTAAGACTTTTCCAAGAGAGTTCAAAAGCACAGAGATGAGGTGTAGATTGCAGTGGCATCTGCTACTCGGTTGTGCTCAGTGTCAAGTGCAGGTTGTTGAAATGAGATAAGAGTGGAAAAAAAATATGTCTCAGATATGAAGGTCACCTTCATTCATGACCACAACTGTGTGGTTGGTGTTTAATCATGAAATATTAAAACCTGGGAATTGCCTTAAGTCTAGAGAATTAGCAAATGTAACACATCTGTGTATATTTTTATCCCATGCTAAAATTATCTAAATGATTTAGTCTGTTTCCTTAGGTCTAAAAAGAGTGCTGCTGGCTTTCTCCAGAGATTAAATGTAGATTTCAGGATGAGCTGTGAGCTTGAGAATTGCGCAGGCAGCACAAAAATAAATAAAACTTTGAGATACAGAGGGGAATTATTTTAACCCATTGTAGCAAAATTGCAAAAAGCTAACAAAAGATGTTAAAAACAGTTAATACATATTTAACGCTAGCTCACACTCTGGAATGTATTATAAAAATTGTGGCATGAAGGAACATTTGCAGATTTATTTTCCCTGCATGCCAAAGTAACACAGTGCTGTCACTGCCTACTGATAACAGTGTAAGCTGTTTTTGATCAAATTTTAGAAGCAATCTTTCTGTAATATTTAACTTGTGACTTTATGTGCACAGTATGAGCCTCATTCATGAAACTTGAGTAAATATATGAGTAAATTCAGAGTAATTTGCGCGTAAAACAGATCTTCCCGAAAACTCTTTTCCGGATTCACAAATGCTTCGTAAACATCAGATTTGATAGTTAAACATGTATGTTAAAAAGGGGTCATAGGATGCTACATGCACTTTTACAAGTTGTTTGAACTGAAATGTGTGTTGGCAGTGTGTGTACACAACCACCCTATAATGATAAAAATCCACCCAGTGGTTTTGTTTTAATCTCGTTAAATGTTTTCCCCTTTCTCAAATCGAGCCGCTCTCAGATGTCACACAGACAGGCCCCTCCCACAATAGTTTGATTGACAGTAGTGTTTCAGCACAGACTGGACTAGCGTCTTACCTTAGACCCGCCCTGAGTGAGCTGTCATCAGTCCGCCATTGTTTCACCGCAGGAACAGGTGTAGACAAGAATGACTCCTAAGTGATTGAGGTGTTCTGTTGTTGGATGTAATAATGAACATAGCAATCGTCATTTACTCCCGACATCTGAGCCGCTGAAGATGCAGTGGATTACATTTGTTTCTGAAGGGAATGCGCCCCCGATCTACCTAAATGTGTCTATGTTTGCGCGAATCATTCATGATCTAGCCTCATCTACAGAAGTAGTGAGTATAAAGTTTTGTAACGAATCTTTGCAAATCGCCTTTCCTAATAATGTGCTAATTAGCAAGTTTTACGATGACTGCGGCTAAAGTAAACAGTCTCTCTGAGAGCAGCGTGGAAGAGAGGGGCGGGGTCAGCAGAGCTAATTAACATTTAAAGGAAAATGCTACAAAAACGGCTTGATCTGAAAAGTGCTGTTTTTTGACAGGGTAAAAAAAGTGTTTTTTACAAGACCATTGAGAAGTTTTAACCAAACTATGTTACAGACTTTTCCAGGGACGCGGGAAGTAGGGGTGCTGAGGGGGCTGCAGCACCCCCTGTTTTCACATGGTTGCAAATCCAACGCCAAGTTTGTTCATTTAAATTTCAGTTTTAGCATTTAATAATTTATTTGTAATGATCTCTGAAATGTAAATTGTAAGTGGGCTATAATAAACCCATGTTTATCTTTATAAACATGATTAATTTTACTTGTGATGTTTTCTATATGGGATGATTAGCCTAATCCTCATGAACACGTGACGCTAACGCGTGGTATCAGACATGAGCTATACAGAATGCGAACAAGATTAACTTTAATACAAGGAGATAATGGCGCAAAAGTGAATTTCAGATTTTTTTAAATGCCCATCCCAGCAAAAACTTTCCAAAATCGACATCCAAACAACACCAGCCCCAGCACGAGCACCGACGTAAGTGAACCAGCCCCCCCAAACCCCC